ATCTGTTACCAACCATATTTATAGCCCCTTGCTCGAAAATAGCCGTTTCTAGCCGTTGGGGGTCATTAAATGCTTTGCAGGACACAAAGCTCGAGCTGCAGAATTGTCAGGAGAGCCGGCTTACACTTATAGAGCCGGCTCTGCAGAGCCGGCTTACACTTTCAGAGCCGGCTATCCGGGATTGCAACCCATTCTGTTTTCCTCGAGAGCCGGCTGCACAACTTTGAGCCGGCTTTGCAACTCCGACTTTAAGTACATTAAATAATCTTCAAATGAGTCGACCGTTGTGCATTAAATGCACTCTCACAGCCGGCTGCAAAGCCAGAGCCGGCTTTGCGTCTTTTCTCCGCGCGCGCCAAACAACGGGTCTTCAAACTTTTGCCTGTTGAGCCGGCTGCAGCTTCCAGAGCCGGCTTTCTGCATTCCATTTCACTAGAGCCGGCTGCAGCTTTACCAGAGCCGGCTCTCTGCACATTGAATCCTTTTGGTCTATTTTTAGTGCAATCCAAGTTTACTTGCAATCTTTTAGCAACTTAACTACACACTTAAATAAACCAATTAGTCACTCAAATGTGTTTTGTAATCATCAAAATCATAGGTACAACAGTGGGTTTGCTATAAATGTGGGCATTACCACAAGCTTTTTAGCTAAATTATGGGGATGTAGAGAAGGTCTTAAACATGTAATTTCCCTTGGAGTGCGATAGTTAATATTGGAAATGGATTCCTTGCTGGCAATGCAACTAATTCAATCTCGGAAGGCATCAACTGGCGTGGCTTTGGTGCTACCATCTGATATCTTCTTGTTACTTGACTCTTTCACTTCTTGCTCAGTACATCACACTCTTAGGGAAGGTAATTCAGCTACTGACAATATGGTCTTTGTTGGGCATAATCTTGAGTTGGGTACTACCTTTTTTCCAACCCTCACAATGGGTATTAGTCTGATTTTGCAAAACGATTATACTAGGACTATGTTCCTCAGAAACTCAGCTTTTAATAGCTTTTGATATATCGAAAAAAATAATCAAATCTTTGAATAAAAAAAAATTATTCAAAATAAAAATATTATTAAATAAATTAATAATGACTAAGTTTTGTTTGTTCCAATTAAAATAAATATGAAAAATAGGAATAACAAAATAACCCTAAATGGAAATCAAATCAATATCATTTTGATCTTTATATCACAAAAGCCACAATCTATTGGAGTTGTAATTCAAATAGTTTAATCCTAGAAACATTTTCAATTCCGCTTCTTGCATTCTTATATTTATTAATTAACTTGATTATGCAAATCTTTAATAAATTTGTGTAACTGGTTAATTACATCATCTTGTACCTTTATAGTCTCGTTCAAATTTGAAACCCTCTTCTCTAAATCATCAGCATGTTTTGTTGCTTGTTTTTCACGTGCTTTAATTAATTCTTGTTCCATATAGCAATTTGAAAGTCCTCCTATCCCAAGACCTCGAGTATATCCTCCTCTGAGTCGTCCCAACCCTTATCTAAAATGTTCTATGAGTGGAATAGGAGTTGAAGAAATCTCTTCAGCATTTTCCACTCCAACATTTTAAAGTTGGTTCCATAGAAAAAATACATAAATTATTATAAAAAACCAACAATTAAATTATAGAAATGATACAAATAATTACCAAAATTCTTTTCCCATCAGGAACTTTATTGCTTGTTTGCATTCAATCCTCTCACTTCCTCTACTCTTGAAGCAGAGGGTAATGTTTTTATTTTTTACCCTTCTTTCTATTATGACAATAAAAGGAAATCAATAAAAAGTTATACTATAATCAACATAAGATATATATAGAATTATTACTTACTATAAATTTAAAAATTAGTAATTACTAGTTCATGAACAATTTGGATAATTGATTTTATGCCAGTAATGAATGGGATTTGAACCTTCAACCTATTAAAACTATTTTTATTACTGTCATCCCGCAATTTGATACATAAGATATATTATTATACTATGATTTATTGAACAAGTGATTAAAAACAAATAAATAATATTTAAATATTTAAAATTAAAAATAAAATAATTAGGTGTTAACATACTTTGAATTTATCTGTTTTTCATTTGTTCTGAATTAACCAATTCTACTCAGTTTCTTTAACATAATTTGGACGAATTCTTTTTGTACAATATTCTTTATATAATTTATTATGTCATGCCTTGAACTAAGTTTGGCATTGTTTCATCACAACATTGCAGGCATTCTCATCTAACTTGAATTTACGCTAAAAAATTAACTTAAAATTAAATTAATTAGAATTATTTAAATTGAAATATTGCAAATTAACTTTTAATATAGGACCCTGATTGGTGCACACCCGGATCCAACACCCGGGTGTGCACCCCCATATTGAAAAAAAAAAAGGACCGGGTGGGGTTGGGTTTTTTTTTTTTTCAATGGGGAGTGTGCACACCCGGGTGTTGACCCAGGTG